TGAAATGACAAATTAAATTAAAAAAATAAGTTTACAAAATAGTACATATTTTTAAGAGTCCAATTTCACTTTAAAAAGGGGTGTGTGTGTAATCACAGAAAAAGATCTGAGAGGATATTCATCAAAATGACAACTGTGATTACCTCTGGGCAGCAGGATACAGGTAATCCTTATTTTTTTCTTTATGCTTTTACTAGAGGCCCGGTGCACGAAATTTGTGCATGGGTAGGGTCCCTAGGCCTGGCCAGCGATTAGGGCCAATTGGGGCCTTCCAGATGCCAGTTGGGGCCTCCTTTCCCTGGCTGCTGGCCAGGGCCTTCCTTCGTTCTGCGCCGCCCCCTGGTGGTCAGCACACATCATAGCAAGTGGTCAAACTCCCAAGGGGACATTTTGCATATTAGCCTTTTATATATATAGATCTATTTCCTGAATTTTTGAAGTAAGCGTAACATAATTTTATAATTAGAACAGTAAAGCTATTTTAAAAAACGACAGCCATCAGCTGAAACAAAAAGATCAATCTTACATCACCTTGGCTTAATGAAGTCCACGGTGATAAAGGTCCTTAATTCTACACAATGCTACTCTTGGAGAAGCTTGCAAGTGTCTTCATCCCAAGCAATACTTAAACCTATTCCGAGTAATTAAGAATATTTCAGGGTTCTACAGACCATTTGTGAGAACTCTGTCATGAACCCATAAAGTGTTAATTGAGAGAGAACACTGAAATAGATGCTCATGAATTTGTCACCTAAGGCAACGAAGTAATTAAAGGGAGGAGTTCCGCTGATAACATCAGTTGTCTATGGGATAGAGAACTGGAGGGGGGCATTGAAAGAATGGGAAGGAGAATTCTATGTAGTTGTTAGTATCTTTGGAATTCTGAGCCATGTGAATGTACTGCTTACTTAAAAATAAATAAAATGTAAAAACAACAGAAACATTATCAAGACTCTGTGGTTGCTCATGACTTATTCGAAAATTTTTACAAGTTATTCTTTAAGTTATCTATTAGTGTTGAGGTCAATTAAGAATTAAAGTTTTCAGTCTATTCAAGTCAAAATAGTTGAGGGGCCAGAGGAAAGACCACAAAGAGATGAGAAGATGAGTATGAATCATATGTGGGAAGATGAGGGGGAGCAAACAAATGTGATTTATTAATAATGGAATTTGTTTTTACACTCTTAGGCAAGTAAAAAATTCCAACACTGCCTCTATATTTATATTACATTATACTGTGTTCTTGGATTTTTTTGCTTATGGGAAATATCAAAATGTCAACCATTGTTTCTATTAAAGGTCTTTAATGATATTGCATTTTGGACCTGTAATGAAACATGGTGCTCACTGCAGTTTGTAATGCATCTCATTAAATACATTAATAACATGCATTTCACTAAAAGGTCAACTTATTATGGCTGGAGTTTGGCTTTCCTTTAATCACTTCATTTAAAGCTGTAGAGCAAACTCTGAAAAAGACAGTAGAGAGTGCCTGTTACAAAAATGTTCTCTCAATTCCCCATTCATTAAAATCAGTTATGCTTATTAAGAAATCACTGTTAATGTTTTTATGTGAAATTATGGTGGTGTGATTTTTTAAAAAAATCCTTTTATTTTAGAGATACATGCTGATTTACTGACAAGATAATAGGATGTCTGGTATTTGCTTCAAAATAATCCAGAAATAAGGGGAGAGTTAGTATAAGTACAGATGAAATAAGATTGGTATTAGCTGGTAACGGTATATGAGTTCATTGTACAATTCTCTCTACTTTTATGTAGGTATGATATATCCCATAATGAAAAGTTTTAAATAAGTCATGCTGAGTTTTCCTTAAGTAACGTGCACTCTTCCTTGTATATCGTTGCTACCAACATAAAAGACCTTCCTCCAAATACTGTACTGGAGAACTTTTTAAAAGAAAATCAAAGGAAAAGCTAATCTGTTTAGAGAAATGGTTTTGTACACAGAAGATCCCTTAATTTTGCCAAGGTTACTTCATGATTTACCACTATGCTACTACTAAAATATTTTCAAAATGTCTCTGAAATTACTTCACAGTTAAAGAGTTAATTACCAACATGTAATGTCAAGGTGATTGGGGACTACGTGCATATGTGTGTTGTTGAAGGCAGGAGATATTTGTTTAGTTTCTGAAAGTAGACGTTAGGATACTGAAGATACAAAGACATGCTCAGAAGTTTACTGTGGCTAAAATACAGCTGGAAGTCTGCTGATCTAGAAACTATTGTTAGGACTATGAGGGTAAATGACAGTGCCTAGGAGAGAATATATCAAGAAAATACTACCTGAGAACAGGATCCTAAATGCAATGAAACTGACATTGGCAGCATAAAAGAAGAGTCTAAGATGAGAAGAAATCAGAAAGGCAGGAGAACCCAAACAGCATATGTAATGTCACCAAAGTCAAAGGGAAATATTTCCAGGAAAGACTGAACGTTTCAGGGAGGCAATAGGCTGGGTTTGACAATAAGAAAATATATGCTCACCTTTCCATAGGCATAAGGTGAACTGTAAGTATTATCTATAATAATAAAAGGGCAATATGCTAATTAGACCAGATGTCCTTCTGGATGACCTTTCTGAGGAAGCCAGGGCTACGAGGGAAGCCCGGGTCCCGGGTGCCAGAGGGAAGCCGGTGCCGGCAGCCCGGGGAAGGAAGGCCTACTCTTGCATGATTTTCGTGCCTCAGGCTTCTAGTAGAATAAAACACTACCCACTTTCCAGCACAAATGGTTAATTTAGATTATACAGGGAATATAAATACTAATAAAAAGTCAAAAAACACTGAAGTCAGTGGGGATAGTTTGTTACAATGATGCCCATCGTTCACATAGCTTAACATTGCCAAATACCTCTTTCAGCAGAAAAAGATGATACCCATCCCTAACATTTGTGGTGTGCTGTGTGCCAGACACTGTGCTAAGGCTTTAGCACAGTGTCCTTTAATCTCACAACTTTAATCTCACAACTTTATTATCGCCATTTTAGTGTGATGTTAAGTAACTTGCCCAAGGTCACAGAGATGGAATCTAAACCCACACAGTCTGACTTTACTGCAAGACCAAGCAAACTGAAAAGAAATTTACTTAAAGACAGTTAAGTTCCAGTGTTTACTTGAGGTCAGCACAAATTCAGCCTATGTTCCACATCAGCTTTACTACACAGTATAAATTCTTCATTCAGAGTAAAGTAGTCAAGACATTTTTCTTAAACTCTATTTACCAAGACAGGCAGGTATATAACATGTTACATCATATTGTCATCAGAAGGTTGAAAACAAACAAAAATTAACTACCTGTAAGATGTGCAGAAATTCTGGTTATCAGAAAACTCCCCACTTTCCTGTCTTAAAATATATGATATCAAACAAACATTCCTTTCTTCTCCTTCTTCCACCATAGCCCACCCCATCAGATTAATAGACATCCATCAGATTAACTGGAGTTCACCAATGAGGCAAAGAGGCAATTGGTTAAATACCAAAAAATAAAAAATAAAAACAATAAGAACTGTTGTAAAAGTTAAATAAAACATTAAAACTGCTAAAGATAATAAGTTATATCCAAGAATAAAAATGTGTCCATTATACATGATACTGACTCTTAAAATATCAATATTTTAAGATGAATGAATGAATGAATGAATGAATGAATAAATAAATAAATAAATAAATAAATTACCCAAAGCTCAAGCAAGAAAACTATTAGGTAACAAAATGGAAAAGGCCTTCAGCAAAAACATTTCAGACAGTCTAGGTCTCATTACAAGCCAAACCAGGAATTAGGTCAAAGATAGCAGAGAAATGCTCCAAAAATCTCAAAAATTTTGAAAACTGGCCATCTATCATTTATTTAAGGGAGAAAGGGGGAAAAGCTGGGAGAGGGATATAAATGACCCACCCTCACAGTATCAGCAGGGTTTCTGAAGGATTTACCCAGGACTTTCACATAGGAAACAGACTTCAAGTATGGCAGGACATACAATCTAAAGACTGGACTCTAGGAAGTAATTTTTAATTAAACCACATGTTTTCCTACATGAAAGGTCCACAAAATCTCCTTCCCTAGAAATCCTACTATTTATTTTGAATGGTTTAAGCTCCCTAAAGGTAGATGCCAAATCCTCCTCAGTTCCCTTCCAAACCTAACCCCATAAGTTTTAAAGAACAAATGAAAACAGTAAGCCTTAGCATGTAAATGAGGAATAGAGATCCCAACCACAGTGCACTAGCCCCAAATCTCTCTCTACCCCAGTCTTTTGGTGCCACTGAGCGTACAGGCACACAGCACTCGGGAGGCAGTGTGGTGCAGAAGGAGGACTCCGAGATCAAAAGGCAGAAAAGCCAGAGTTTTCTCTCTGTCTTGCAATGTATATACAAGCTCCGTAACTCTCAGCAACTCATTCTCTCTGGGCCACAGTTCTCTCATATGTAAAATGAAGGGACTGGGAACCAAAATATTTCTAAATTCCTTTTTTCTCCTAAAATTTTTGGCCTTCACAGCTCAGCAATTCTCTTCTAAAACGTTTTTCCTCCTTCTGCAGTCATCATCTTGCCTCACTCTATGCAACTCAAAGGAAGATATGAATAAGATCATCTTAGCATCTTCTAGGAACCTCACAATAAAAAAAAGGGCATCTTTTAAGTATGTGATACAACCAACTTAAATGAACTGATTTTAGTCATTCCTTCTCTCCCTTTCGTTCTGTAACAGTAGATTTCCAACGAGTGTTCTCTGAACATTAAAAGAAGTAACTCAGAAAGCCAAGGAGAGGGGGAGGTAAGAAAAACAGCAGAACAGACATGACTCCGCACCCAATCCATTTCAACCAAAGTTATCTTCATTTGATAAAAGAACTATATTGCTTTTTTAAAAAAAAGTTAAAAACTACTATTTTATACCATATTATCACTAAAATCATGTCTTCTCTTTTTCAACTCTGTGGTGCTACAAAGTATCCCAATAAGTATGCTTACTATTTTTTAAGGCGCTGGCAAATTCTGGGCCACCCTTGTCCTTGAAAACAGGGAAAACATCCGGTTGAGGAAGTTGATTGGTAGTCAACAGAGCTTTTTGTAGTTTGATCCTTCCTTCCAAGAGCTGGTCCCACAGTGCTGAGAAAGAAAAAAATAATTCCATTCCTCAGTTACACAATCTTCCTGGGGAGGGGAGGGGGGAAAGGACAGGAAATCACACCAGTCTGTCTCTAAGCAACACAGCTTTATCACAGTTTTTCATGCCATGGAAACACTCTCTGTTATAGGAAATAAATTCAGTATCTTGGAAGCAAATATGTGCTACATGAGAGAAAATGCTAAAGCCCAAAGAGAGGAGAAAACACTCTCCTCTTCAATCTTCCACAGTTGCCATAAGTACTAGAGCAGAACCAACTAAGCAGCTCAGTGGAGAAATGGCTGGCTAAGCATAGAGGAATGGGGCTTTAGGCTTCTAGGTAAGTGGGGCATGTCGCAAACTTAATTGGAAGGACACAGGAGAGAGCGAACAGCCAAAAACAAACAAACAAAAAGGACATCAAATGCAGACACTTTGAAAAATAAGCAAACAGCAAACCATGTACAAACCTATCTGGTTCTTCACAGCTCTGCCTTTCTCCACTTCCTCGGAAACTTTGACACTGGAGAAGGTCATCACCACACCATCATCTTCACTGTTCCTGTCTTCAGCCCTGTCTTCCTCACTGGCACCCTCTAAATCTTCTTCACCATCCCCTTCTTCCATGCCACTCTCCTCCTCTTCGTCTTCCTCGTCATCACTGCTACCAAGGTCATCCATTCCCTCAGTAAATTTTTCAAAGTCACTGATATTCTGGATAGTGAAGCCTGGTGTTTTCCCAGAGTGGCTTCTGTCCCCCTTCCTCCAGGCCAGACTACTGTCCCCATCATCACCACACTCCTGTTCCTCAGCAGCACTCATGGCATCCTCATCAGATTCCTCCAGCCCCAGCCCCTCTGAATCGCCATCTCCAGACTCTTCCTCATCAGATATTTCCTTGTCTAAACAAGGGAGAGAAGAAGGAAAGGAAATGGGTGTTACCTTGAGGCAAATACCAGGCTGTATTTTTCATTTCATCTAAAGGGCCATGGTAGTTATTTGTTTTAAAAAAAGTATTATACATTGTACTCAATCCAATAAATATTTATTACACATCTATTATCTATAAAATGTTAATGGAGAAGCAAAGATGAACAAAACATAAATCCAATCCTAACATAAAAGTTCTAGTGGGAAAGACCCATAAAATTATAATACAGAAAAGACTTAAAAGTGCTTTAACAAAGTTTTGATAACCCAGAGAAGAGGGAAATTTTAACTGTGGGACAAGTGAATTTAAGTACACTTAAATAGGAAGAGATAGTCTTTGGTCTGGACCTTGAAGAATGGTCAGATTTCAATGGTGTGAGGGAATTACCAGTTTTCCCAAACCTGCATCTAAAAATATATATGTTATCATTAACTATCCCAAATGCATAATTTCTATCACACAAATGTACACTATTATATACTTACTAGAGGCCTGGTGCATGAATTCATGCACGGGTGGGGTCCCTAAGCCTGGCCTGCACCCTCTCGCAATCTGGGACCCGCTCATCCTGGCCCTGCTGCACCTGCCACCGCCACTTGGTAGCGCTGCTGCGAAGGTGAAAGAGGCTCCCGCCACCACCACTGCACTCGCCAGACGTGAGTCTGGCTTTTGGCTGAGCGGTGCTCCCCGTGTGGGAGTGCACTGACCACCAGGGGCAGCTCCTGTGTTGAGCGTCTGCCCCCTGGTGGTCAGTGCGCATCATAGCGACCAGTTGTTCCACCATTTGGTCGATTTGCATATTAGCCTTTTATTATATAGGATTAAGCACCTATTATGAGCCAGGCATAGAAAAAGGCTAAGGAATGACAAATAGAATGTGATACCTATGAGGAGGGCTTCATAGTCTGGTGAGAGTGGTAGATATGCACACCAGTAATTATGTTACAATGTCATAAGTACAGTATATAGAGAAGGAACCACTTAACTCACCTGGAAAGGTAAGAGATGGCTTCGTGTGTAGGAGGAGACATTATAATTTTACTTAATAAGTAACAGCTCATCATATAGAGAAAGGGGAAAGGAAAGAGAAAACAGCATATGCAAAGGTCCAGCACCATAAAAGTACACTAGAGTGCAGAATGGTAGGTAGCCTACAAAGTTGCTATCAGGAGAGTCTTACCTGTAATGGGAAGGAGTTTGAACTTGATCCTACAGTAAATGGAATGTTAATTACAGCTCCTGATTTTACTTTTCCTTAAGGTATCACCTGATTAGGGTCTTCACTGATTATCCTATCTCTTCCATGGTAGAACATAAAGGTCCCATGTATAGCAAACATAATTATTAGACACAGGGACCAGTTACCAACAACTTTCTTCAATAAAATAAAGATTTCATGAAAATGTGGAGAGGCCTTCAGTACTTCTTTTAAAAACTATATATAAACTAAAGACACGGGGAAATCTGTCAAATACATAAATACAAAAACTAAATGCAAAGTTCTTTAAAGGTATGCAATTTTTCAGATTAAGAAACATTCCTACAGAGTACTAATTAAGAGAACTCTTGGAGTCAGACTGCCTTACCTGAGTCTGGGATCTTCCACTTACTACCTATATGACCTTGAACAAATTACTTAATCAATCTATCCCTCCATTTTTTTATCTGTAAAATGGGAATAAATAGTATCAACCTCACAAGGCTATTGGGAAGATTAAATGAAATTATATATGTAATGATAATGGTGATAACATTTTTTGAAGATTTACTGTGTCCCAGGTTCTTGGAATTTAATTTAAAGGGTTTTCTAAGTGCCTGACACATGGTGACAACACAATAAGTACTATAATATTTGTCTCATACTGGTCTCTTTAGCAGTCTCTAGGCAAAAAATGTGAAATGAGGTTATCAGGAACTTGCAGAACTATATCAAGGACTAAATCATATATATATATCATAACCTAAATGAAAGTTCCTTTTATATTATCTGTGGATTCTCAACATAGCACCTCTGATCTCTCTAATGAAAATCAAATGACATGCACTCAGTAATTACCATATGCAACCACTCCTTCCACTCTGCTTTAAAACTATAAGCTCACATCTTCTAACACTCCTGCAGGGAATAGGGAAGGATTATGTTATTTTTGCAATGGCAAAAGATGAGTTTCACAAATTAATGTCATACAGTGACCCAATGTAAGACTGAAAAACTGAAGGGAAAGGATCAAAATCCCTGAATAGCACGCTCATCAGAGGCAATGCTTTTTCAACACACAGCCTCTTCAATGTCCAATGTGCACTGCCTTTTCTCTGACTCCATTTTACAGTGAACTATTAATCTAAACGTAAGGAGTGTAGCAACTTAATTCCTTCAGGCTTTTGCTTCCCTATGAAGTGAAATTAAGTACCTCTAAGGCCCTTTCTAAAGCTAAATCAATGGTCTCTCTTAAGATCATAGGTGGGGGTACATAGACTAGTCTTGCAAAATTCATTTAAAAAGGGGGGGTGGAATCTTAACCTTAAAAAATTAGGGAAGAAAGAGAAAGAGTACCCTGCTAAAAAACAAACACCCCCCCCGAAAAGAAAACAAACATGCAAACATATCCACTCACCGGATGAACCTGACAGAGGATGCTCCCACTGGTCTTCCTTCCAAGCTTTTCTAGAGGTGGTCTTGCCAGAATACCTTTTGTCTGTGTCCAAGAGGGAGGCTGAGGCCAGTTTCCGAATGTTACCCACAGCCAGGAAGTCACCTTCCCCATCGTCTCCTTCCTCAAACCGGTCAATCACTCTGGCAGCAGTGGCTGTGGGCGAGGGGAAAAGTAATCAGAATCTCCAACTTCAATGGTAACCCTGGCCAACCCTTTCCATTCACACTTGAACGTCCTCTACGAAACCCCTACCAACTCCCAGGGTCAGGGAACTCGCTACCTCCCAAGGGAGCCCTCTCCTTACTGCTGTTCCCGCACAGAAAGCCGACTCTGTATCTGCTAAGTAGTAGATACTTCTCCGCCTTGGATCACATAAAACCAGGGTCATTCCTCTTCCGTGTATGACAGTCACTCAAACACTATGTCAGCCATCATCATGTTCTGTCCTCACTCCACCCTATCCCTCGGGGAGTTTTGGGGGTGTCTTTTTTTTCTTTTCTTTTCGCTTATCCTGGCTAAACAGCCCCAGTTCCTTCAACTGATATTCCTAAAACACAGTCCAGCACTCACATTCACCCGTCATCATTCTCCCTTCCTCACACTTTCTGACTCAAGTCTAAAGCAGGATGACTCCCACCGAGACCTGGAACCTGAGCGGACAGAACCGAGCCTCACTCACCAGCCCCTGAGCAAGTGCCGTGAGGTCTACAGAGACTGAAGCAGCACCACGGAAACCCACGTCTGCATTCTCCAAGTTAGTTCTTAGGGACAGGCAGGGTTTAAAAAACGGAGGCGGCTTCCTTCTCCCCATTCCTCACACAACCCCTGTAAGAGCACCCTGACAGGAACTCCCGGCCTGCGACCAGACTCCGGCTCCCCGCGGCAGCCCTGGACCCCGTTCCAGGCCACAGTCC